CCCCTGCATCGGCAGGCGGACCCTCAACCACTGCGCCACCAGGGAAGCCCGAAGACCATGTCTTTTAAATGAATTGCCCTGTGTATGCCTGTGTCTTTCTGCTGCTTCCAAGAAACAAGTTGGTAAGGATGGGAGTAGAAGGAAGAGAAAGGGAGGAGTGGTCCTGAAATCACACATCTTTAGCAGACAGTGAATGTTGAAGGGCTAAATGACTTAGTCACAGAGACATGTAAGGTGAGTACTCTGCACACATATATGCATATGCTAGATGAACATGGACACTGTGGGTTCTGTATACTGTTCCCAGCATGTCTCATTTCCATCCCACTGTTGTGTTTACAGTTAGGGTGAAAATGACTAAACCTGCTATCTGATAACAGCATGAGGGTAAGCATGGGAGCGGATTGCGACAGATCTTTCATAAGTTTGGTGCAACCCAGAGAACCTCAGAGCCAAGACATCTTCATTATGGGGGCCCCTCTAACTAGCTATAGTTTAATTTGAGTGTCCAGAAGCAAAGTCTGTCTCTTAGGAGTCTGGCAAGGGAAGTCGTCATCCACATTTAATTGGGGGGCAGACAATTCCTTGCCTTACTCCTGCCCTGCCATAACCCTGTGCCCAAGAGAACTCTAGTCCTTTATTTATAGAAAGGATATAGAACCAAGATGTTTGAAGGGCAACTTCCCTCACCCCCTTGGTTTCCATAGTTACCTCTCCCTGAATGTATCCCCCAATTATGTCTGTTTAATGCTGTCCTCTTCTTACTTTCAGCTATATAACCCCATCCATCATCTCAAATCCCAAACGACCGAAGCTGAATTGATAGTCTCTTTCAAATCCACTTTTCCTATCATCTTGCCTTATACTTATGCATGGACCATCAACCTCCTGATCACCCAGGCTCAAATCATCAGTCATCTTTGAGTGTGAGCAAGAAGGAGAAGTCAGGCAGTCTAAGAATATTCATTCTCACTTGGTGATATATCTTGTATCCATTGCTTCATTTTCATTCCTTTCTTTTTCATGATCACACTCTTCAGATCAGGATTTCTCGGTCTTGGCCCTACTGACATTTGAGCTGGATAATACTCTGTTGTCAGGGGCTGCCCTGTGCATTGTAGGATGTTTAGCAGCATCTCTGGCCTCTGCCCACCAGATGCCAGTAGCATTCATCCCAGTGTGACAACCCAAAATGTCTTCAGATGTTGTAAAATGTCCTCTGGGACAGAGGATAAGGGAGTTGGAGGTGTCGAGGATGAGGCTTAGGAGGTCTGGTATGGGCAGCTGTGTATATGGTAGTGTCACTCACTGGGACGAGAAACACTGGAAAAGACCAGGTTTTAGGGGAAGATCTTGAGTTTCTTTTTGGACATGTTGAGTTTCAAGTACCTTTGAGGTCTAGTCCAGAGATATAAATTGGGTGAATAGGTGGAAATTGAAACTGTGAATGTGGACGAGGTTGCCTAGGGAGAGAGGGTGGCATGAGTAGAGGAGAAGGCTTAGGACCAAACCATGAAGAACTCTAACGCTGAATGGCTAGTTAGAGAAGAAAGAGCTTGCAGAGGAGGCAAGGAGGGAGTGGCCCCAGAGCGGCAGGATGAGAACTGGGGTGGTAGCACCTCACGGAAGGCAAAGCAGAAGCATGTCAGAAGGGAACAGATAATCTAGAATGCTGCTGAGAGCTCAAAAGATGAGGCCTGAAGACATGTTAGTTTTATTTAGTGATATGGAGGTCCATTTTTTACCAACCTTTAACACTTACTCCTGCCCCTTTGATAAGGAAGGTGGGAAGGGCTCAGGTAGGAGTGCATGGAACTAAGGCCAGTCTTTGGCTTATTTATTCTGGTGCTCATGACATTCATGTCCAACGTATCAATATTTACTTATGCATCAGGCCAGGCCTATGTGCCAAGAAATAGACTTTTTTTTTTTTTCATTCTGGAGAATTCTGAATCCAGAAATCTGGATGGCTTTCTACTTTTAGAATTTTTATGGAACTTTTATCAAACATGTAAATTTTACCATCACACTGATTGAGAAAATGTGTTCCTAACCCTCAGTCAAAACTTTGCTAAGATTCACGGTGAGTATAACTCTTATTCTAGGGTTAGTATCACCCCTCATTCCTGGTAGAAATTCATCCAGAGGGAGCTGTGTCTGAGGGATGGAGATGAATGACGCTATTGTCTTTATTTATGGAAATATACATACATATAAAGGAATAGGACTGTAACTAGTTGTCTAGAACTGTAACATTCAATTAATTTGGACTCCACTGCTATGAAATTGTGACTATTCCAGACTCCGGAGGGCTGAAGGTCCTCTTTGGTTAATCATGAAAAAAAATGGCTTCTTGAGCCAATGACTAATACAAGAAGATTGCAGTGGGGATGCTTAACCTTTTCAAAGGAGGAAGGGCCTTCAAGAATATTCACATATCAGAGTTGGATATGTTAATTAGATATGCTTTTGGAATTCAGTTCGAATGGCTGCATTGAGAGTAACAGGGGTGCATTTCTCTAAAATGCTTTCTTTGATTCAGATTTTTCAGGTTAATTTGGAAGAGTCCAAAGTAGTTGGGTTTGATTGGTCATTATGCAAGTCCAAGACGCTCAATGAATTCTGGTTTGTTCAGCTTCCTCTGACTGTGTTCTGAAGAGTTGTCCCCAAATCTTAGCACTCCTCCCAGATATCTCCCTCTGTGTCCCTGGCCCCCTTCACAGTGACATTTCTCTTTTCTGCAGATGAAGAGTAAGAGAAACAGGATGCTTCAGAGCGACTACATGAACATGACACCTCGCAGGCCGGGGCCCACCCGAAAGCACTACCAGCCCTATGCGCCAGCACGGGACTTTGCAGCCTACCGTTCCTGACACGGACGCCTATCCAGATGCAAGCCGGCTGGCCCCTCTTCACCTGCTCAACACCATTGCTCTGGATAGGAAAGGATTGCCTCGTCTTCAGCCAGCCACCTTGGCCTCCTGTTAGGCCACCAATGCTAATTTTTCTTGAACAAATAGACCGAATAACATCATTTTGAGACTCTGAAATGAAGTTAAAGAATATTACTGTGGCAGACTCTTGTAGTGCCATGGCCCAAATTCAAACTCACCATGTATTTATTGACTTGATTGAGAGGTTAGGGTAGAAAACTGAAAGTGAGCGGATTCTGTTAGCCCTGACATCTGCTTCCAGTTCCACTCCTTTCTAACTCACCTGCATATTGCGGTCAAGTGAAGTGTGATATCGAAAGACTTTTTAGATGGAGAAGAAAAGGTTAGGAAATCATTCCCTTTGATTAAATGGGGGTTTTGGGTGGAGATAAGTTGGAATGGGGGAGGGAGTGGTGAGACATAAACATTTAAAAAACCCTTAAAACACTGTCTCTCGCTCATGAAATGAGTCACTTAGTTCCTATTTAATGCTGTTTTATTTTAGTTTGTAAAGATGTAGACATTCTTTTTGATGAATTCTGGTCCTATTAGTCATTTTGACCAATGGAATCCCTTCAGAGCAATGGGAGGTAAACCAACTTGCTTTCCTTACTCCCTGTGATGGGAATTCAAGGTAGTCTTCACAATATGATTTCAAAAGAATAAAGTAGTCCTCCCACACCAAGGAAGAATGTGTCAGGAAATAAGGTCACTTGATGTCAAAATTATTTGAATACTATGAAGGGTTATTTGTTTAGCAGCTCATTTCAGTCGAATCATACAGGGGCCTTTTCTGTTCCATGTATTTTAGGTTTGCTCAGTTGGTTTCTTTATTGTCTGCATGGAGATCTACAGCGGAATGCTGAGAGTGCATCTACTGGAGAAGTGATGATACTGTGAAAAAGGGATGTTAGCATCCATTAGAGTATGAGGGATGGGTCTCGAGAAACTTCTGAAGGGAACAACACAATTCTTGCCACATGCTGCAGGGGTGGCTGGCATCTGGTAGGAGTTTTCTAGAAGACAGAAGGCAGAAGGAGAAATGGTGAGAGCTTCTTTCTGGGACTTTCTGTGCTTTAGGGCTCAGAGCTCCAGAACTCTGTGGTTCAGTTGCCTGTTTACCCTGGAGGTCCATCGACATGGAAAAGTGTTTGATGCTTTTGAGATAGCATCAAAGTTCTCAAGATACCAGGCAAGGCCAGACCCTGGAAACACCATGAATATTTTTCTGGCTCCAGTTTGGGTCAACTGGAGTATGTCTGGGGACCTTGAAGAATGGTTTCACTGCTGCCCTTATAATTTGTTCAGTGCTTCGATTCATTCAGACATTGGAGAAGTCTAGGTTTTAGAGGCAGATAGGCCTGGCTCAAGTACTATTGCTAGTTGGCCTCAGGCGAGTCACTGCCTTTCTAAGACTCTGATTCTTCAACTATAAAATGAAGATAATGATCACAAATGTCTGTTCCTATACTATCATTTCCATGAGGGCATGTCTCAAGTTTGTCTTTTTTTTTCTGCTTGGCCCTGGCACATAGTACCATGCCTGACATATGTTAGCTATTATTATTATTGTCATATAGATAAACTATGTGTAAAAATTAAACTGAGCAATGACCTGAGAAGGAAGAGACTATTATAACACAAATTTAAATTCACTACCCAGGGATGAGGTGCTACAAAATTTGAAAGCCTCTAAACTCCCTCCCATTTCCTGTTTCAAAATATTTTAGCTTGCAATAAAATGTACAGCATTCTGCCTCTCACTTTTATGTATATAAAGAGGTCTTCTCTAATTTTTTTTTTTTTGTAACATGGGGAGGGGTAGAAATCTTATAATTCCATTCAGAGGATATTGTACTTTGGTTGATTTTTAAATGGGCTTCCATTCCATGAATTAAATTATTTCAAAGAAGGTCAAACTTAGCAGTACTTGGGTGATGAAAACTGTTGAATTTATACTGACACATGTGCCAAATTGCCAGCCTCTTGGCATACAGAGTTCCTTAATCCAAGTTATCAGATTGAATTTGAAAAGGACAGAGCTGGAGGATTTTTAGAAAGGGCAATGATAAAAAATAAATTAAAAAATGGAAAGATTTCCTCTTTGGTAATAAATGGTTTTATTTTCTGGTGGGAAAAATAGGTTTACTGAAGATGAATCATACTTCAGATTTTTCTTACTCACTCTGAACAGAACCAAAGTAGAAATGTTAACAGGGAAGTCCATTTTCACTATTACTGTGAACCAAGAAATGGTTTAAGAACAGTGGTTGAAGCAATGCTTTTACAGTTTCAGATATGGCAATTATGAAGAAAACAATGCCATTTGCTGCTATTATTTTAAGAGTCTTATAATTAATAGTGGTTCTATAATTTTTGATTGTGAGCTCACTTATTTGGGGATGAGCACACCAATTTAAAGAGACCAAGTGGGCTTCCCTGGTGGTGCAGTTGTTGAGAGTCCGCCTGCCAGTGCAGGGCACATGGGTTCGTGCCCCGGTCTGGGAGGATCCCACATGCCGCTGAGCGGCTGAGCCCGTGAGCCATGGCTGCTGGGCCTGCGCGTCCGGAGCCTGTGCTCCGCAACGGGAGAGGCCACAATGGTGAGAGGCCCGCATACTGCAAACGAACAAACAAACAAACAAAAATAAATAAATAAAGAGACCAAGTATACATTATGTTCTGTGTCCAGTGATAAAATTACTGAACTACCATGTGCCTGTTTTAAATTTGTGCTTTAATACTGTTTTTCAGAGCAGGTATGCTTCACTTCTGGTGATGAATCTGGAGAAAGCCTGTTATTTAAAAAAGGTATGAGATAAACCCTTTTTATAAATCTCTAGTTTAGCCTTGAAAAAAAAATCCAGACTTTTAAATATTAGTTTCATTTCAAAGCAAAGTACACTTCTGGTTTGTTTGCTTGGCTTCAGTCACAACTTCTCATCAGACCAATGGATTATATCTCTGAGATGTCAGGCTGGGCTTACCTGTGCATTCTGTGTGATGCAAATGTTCTATCAGAGAGATCAGACTTCAGCCTTGACTCCATCAATAACTCAGGTTAACTAACTAAGTCACTAGTTCTCATGGCTAATTTAATGGGGATGTTGGTGGTTAAATGGATATCATATCCCTCATCCTGGCCTTTTGTACTGCTGCACAGCAGCAACAGCAGGCCTGGGGATTGATCCCAAAGTGTTAAATTTAGCTACATGCTGAAGGTTGGAGATGGTGGCAGTGAAGAACCTAGAACCAAAGTCATCACTGCTATAGACCTGTTACTGCCCAGGTTTTGGTATCTGCAAGGGCACTCGAGACTGAGGAAATCTCTTTCTTATAAGTATATACATACTTTCTGATATATTCCTCCTCAAATATCACAGCCGTGTTCCAACCTCAGGGCCTTTACACATACTGTTTCCACTGTCTGGAATGCTCTTCCCCAGATATCTACCTGGCTTGCTCCTTCATTTCCTTCACGTCCCTGCTCAAGTGTCACCTCCTAGCCTAGTAAAATCTTCCCAAGCCCCCTCTACTTTCCTTGCTTGTTTGTTTTCCCATAGCATTTCACCATTTCTTATACCTGACTTTCAAACTTATTTATTTGTTCACTGTCTAATTCCCCAAACTAGAATGTAAGCTCTAGGAGGGATTGAACTTTACTTTGTTTATTGCCATATCTCCAGTGCCCAGAACAGTGCCTGGCAGGTAACAAATATTTATTGACTGAATGAATGAATTTCACATGCCTTTATGAATTAATGGTCAGTCTAAATGTACTAATCAGACTCTGAGAAGGAGAGAGTCAGTTCTGTTTTCCACTTTCCTATTAATAAGCTCAAAAATCCATTTTATTAGTGAGACAGAATGTAAAACATACACACAGCCAAGCCTGGTGAAAGAAAACCTGGTAGCTATAAGTTCATTTACATTTTAGAAATATTTGTGCAGTGACGAAAACCAATACTGTTAGAGTCATCTTAAAAAGTCACGCTAAGTAAGCCACAGTTGAAATTAAGTTGATTTCCCATTGAAGTCCCCAACTTCCCTCTTAATGGAGTATTGACTATGTTTTAAACATGCCTTTAGTCTAAGACTTCTGAAAATGTTGCCTTTGTTGTTAAAATCCCATCCGACTACTAAACTGCTGCTCTTTCTTTTTATTTTTTCTCCCTGGGCCCCCAACAAATTCTATAAATGCTTTGCCTGGCTGTGATTCATAAAGAGCTCAAGGATGGGAATGCTGGGGACAGACAATTTCAGATTCTTCACCTGTCATGCTCTTGTCATAACTGAACATGCTAATGGCTTGCAATAGTTTTAAAATAAAAGAACAACAACAAACAAAATTGTGGCATTTGGAGCAAGTTGAAAATTCAAATCAGGCATATCAGTCATCTCACACACACACACACACACACACACACACACACACACACACACACTGCTATCCTCTTGTGGGGAGGGAAAGGCCCTTGAACAAGAGACACAAGAGCTGGTCTGATACTTCAAGTAATAACTCCTATTAATTCATTGCAAATTGTGCTTTGAGTGTGGCCTGATTTGGTGTGTTATGAGTTCATCTCCAAAGGGACTATTTTCTTCGTCGAAATGGAGCTCATTAAACTTAATAAAGATAACCAAAACCTGTTACTCCGAGAAAGACTTAGCTCATGAGTTTGATTGGACAAACCAAATCAACTAGAGAAGGATAAGTTGGTAAAAACTCCGGCACTAAATGTATCGGCTCAATAAGCGCTCCTTTATTGGGCTAATATAAATAGTGTAACCTAGTTCTGTGAGAAGGTTCTAGCACCTTGAAACTCAAGTGCAAAATGAAATAAAATGAAAACTTCATGACTTCACCTAACAGACCTCCCACCACGTTCTAACTTCATAACTAGGTGAAGAGTGTAATTTGCTGCAGCCCTGAATTCACTTTTTTTAATCCAGTCTGATAAAAGAGATTGATTCCTTTTAAAGCAGTACACTTTCCCCTCTCTCCCCTTGTCTGGAACAGAGATAATGGATGAGTGAGAAAAATCAAAGAAAATTCTGGATCCATCATAATGGGGGCCCTGACCACTGCCCTAAGCAGCAGCAAATGGGATGGTCTGGGAGTCACACCAGAATCTTGTTTATTACCTTATCTGCATCTCCTTAGCTGAG